ACAAAAATGATAGATGGCAGTATTTTACTAACCTTTGCCAAGACCTGCACAGGGATACAAATATAGAGCACCTAGTGGGGATTAAAGCCACTTAGCAATGATTTGAAACCAGGCACAAAAGTACATCCATATAGGTGCTCATGATATTTTCAAATTAAGATTTAAAAAAAGAAAAGGAAAAAGCAGTAAAGACAGATAACTCAGTTTAACAAGAATCTTATTTTCAAAATCTCTTTTCGCACACACACACACGTGTGTGTATAGAAGGAATATACATTATAAATATATGATATGCTACCCATATAATTTACTTTTTTTTCCTTTTATAGACTACATTAGTTTATGTTTAGTAGCATAGTATATAAAATTCACAAATAAAGTAATTCCATCCTCCCATGCCAATAATATAAGACTAATAACAAAATAAATATTTCCCATATATTTTCCCAGAAAGATAATGATCTGCACAGCAGTCAACTGATCAACAATTTATGTTGTTAGGATTGAAGAAAAAAATCAACAGAAATTAGATGGACCTGAATGTAATTCCAGTGATACTCTAGTGAATGGTGGTCAGAGACTTGTTAATATACTGACATCATATTACTCACTCTCTTAGCATTATGAATAGTGAATACAATGTTGTGGTAAAATAGACAAACATTAAGGTCAAGTAAATATCTTTATTGTTAGTGATGACAAAATAGTCAAGCCACTAATTCTGTGTATGATGTAGTGCTAGAACCTACTTATTGAGGAAGCTATTGTTTGCATAAAAAAAGAAAAAGGTAGAAAGTTGTTTCCCTTTGTTTCAATGTTACTGCAAAATATGAAACAAACCAGAGGAATCAGTTTTGTTTTCTTCTGCATGACTGTTGTTAAGGCAAACAATACTCCTGTTTGTCTCAACTCACAACATAATGGATCTTATAAGAGGTATCATTTCCCCCAAAATCCATTTTCTAGTTACAGAAATCTTTTGGCTATTTAACTTTCAGCAGTTAAATTAGTAGAAACTGGGCGTTACTAAATTTCGTCATGTTGAAATTTGACAGAAATTTTAAATTTCTCTTTCCTATAATTGTGCTAGAATAAAACTAAAAAAAATGTTCATATAATTAATAAAATATGAAATAGCAATATAAAATGGTAAAATAATTTGTGTTGTTTTGATTTTGTTATTACTACCAAAACATACTTCTACTTTTGTGAGTGATGAGAATGTAAAATGTTGAAAACATATACAATGTTTTCAGAAGGCAGAATACACAGCTTATTTTCACATAATGTATACAGGTCCAGTAGAGATCAACTATTAAACAGTGGGAGCAAAAAAAATAATAAAGATATAAGCAATTTTGTAATATATTTGGAAGAAAGGAATTCATATTTAATCAGATCAATAGCCATACTGTCTGGCTACTGAAAATAGATTTTACAAGATGTAAATTCTTTACTGGAAAATAATTGAAAAAGATTTGTCTAAAATCTAAACCACTGTGCCTGAGTTGAATTAATTTACTAAATAATATTAACAGAAGACTTCTTAAAAAAATTAAAAATAGTCCAAGATTTTATATTTCTGGCTGTTGACCAACAAACGGTTATAGAAAAGATAAAAATCCATGTAAAAAGACTGCATTTGAAACTTTATTTTGACCAGAATGGTTGTCATGAATTGAGATAAAGACTAGTAAATTGGTTGTTTTCATATGCTTATTAAATGTTGCATGTATCTATTAGTGGAACAAACATCACTGATTTGTTAGATCCATTCACAAACAACGGTGTTAAGAGGATAGACATTCTATTTTGGTAAGAGAAAGAAATAAAACCAGCAACAGTGAATTTGAGATAACAATAAATATGGACACCAAATGTATGTGTTTAGTGGGGAAATAAGTAAACTGTTAAATTATTTAAAAAATATTATTCTCACCAACTAAAGAGAGTAGAATTAAAAAAAAAAGCTGATTATGAGAGAAAAAAAAATATATGGATTAGCAATAACTTTATAAGAGGAAAAAAGTGGATAAACTGGTTATTTTCAAGTGAGCAGAAAAAAAAAAGAAGAAGTTTTCACTTGATTTTCTTTATATAAAACTATTTTTATGATGAGTAAAAAGAAAGTCACATTAAGATGTGATTTAATAGTAATTGCCAAAACATAACAGTGCATAATGTGTTTTTATAAAAACTTTACAATTACCGACTTAGTTACATGTTTAATGCTAGTCTAAATTCTGTTTAGGAACATACATAGTTTCTTAAAAATAAGATGATGAAAGTAGATTAACAAGATCTTTATTACATGAAACACTCAGGATTTTATATGGAGACAAAGAGAAAAAACCAAGCATGACAGCCTCCCAAAATATTTATATCTTGATTTCTTCAATGGATTGCATAAAAAAAGTGATTATTTGTTGATTGAACTATGATTTATTTGGAGTTTGACAATCAGAGAAAACAAGTTATTTTCGAGGATCTAGAAAAAAAAAAATCCTTTTTCTTAAGTGATGTAATGAACAGTTTACATATGATGAAGAAATATGTTCTACTTTGTTGAGGAAACCGAGATTGAACTGTGAAACTAAAATCTCTCCCCACCCCTATCAACATGTCATGGGGCAGGGGAAAACATGACACAGACTTTGGGGAAGACCAATATTCAATAAAGGCTGGTTATGAATTATAGTTTAAATCTAATTTGAGCATATCATTATCTTTATGAAAAGAAACTTCTAGATAGTTGCTAATGATGATCAATTTAGAAAATCCTGATAAATATTAAAATTTCCAGCTAATTTGACTTTTAGAGAAAAATACTTATACTTTATTTTATTGTGATTATTAAAAAAAATTAAGTTATTGACAGATTGGATAAGTGATTTTAATGAAGTAGTTAATATAAACAAGTTTAATCAGCAGTGCCAAAATCACTCACTGCTGATTAAACTGTATTATCTGTATATCTAAAATTGAATTCATTTTTACATAGCAGAATAATTCAATAATTTTGCTTATTTAGAAACTATTTAACAATGTTTTTTTTAAAGAAATAAATCAGTAGAATATGAAGACTATTCTCTCTTGTTGTTTACTGCGTTTACCTAAGGAGTAAATTACAGTTACAAATGGGGAATAATTTAGACCACCCCTCAAAAAAAAAACAAAAAAAAAAACAGCAAGTCCTGAAGAACAGAAACTGATTTTTTTTTTTTTGCAGTAAAGAAAACAATAATTGTGATATTTTCCAAAAAGGAAGGCTCATTTGGTTAAAAATTAAAGGAGAGAATGAGACAATTATAGTGGTTGCAGATAATTGAATAAATCTGATTCATGTAGTTTGCATATATAGACATGATAAACTAGAATACGTAGGGTGATAAAAAGACATTACAATAGAGAAAGGAATAAAAGGGGGAAAGATGAAAAGAAACTGGAGTTAATGTCATAACAAAAATAGATTCTTTAGAAAGAAAATGTTACTGTGATTTTATTCATCAGTGAAAGAAGATGTATATTCTTATCAAGGGGTGTTTTTGGCTCCATAGGCAAATATAGAGAGTTATTAAAATGACAATACCATCTGAATAAGTTAAATTTTAAATAGATAGTAAATATTTTAGCAAAGCAATACACTTAAGTTGATAACTTATGAATAAAAGAAATTATGAAGATTTGTATTAAGAAATGTCTTCAGTCATAATGATACTTCATTAAATTAACCTTTCATTCATTTTTAGAACTTTGTAAAGATAAAAAAGGCCACCATTTTATTTTTTCTCAAATTCAGAGCTAATGAGCATATAAATTGACTAAAAGAAGCATTTGATCCTATGATAACATAGAACTAATAAAAACAATTCTTACAACTCAAAATTAAAAGACAACTTTTTTTTATAATTTCAATTTATTTCAGCCTTGACTTCTGTCAGGCAGAGTTTATTGGGATCATCTGCCACTTTCTTCACCTCTTCTACTAATCTCTGAGCTTCCATGTCTTCTTTCTTTTGTCTCTCTTCCTTAAATTGGTTTTATTTAATAGTTCATCATAATTATTTTTTACAGAAATAATACATGAATAGAGAAAGTTAATAAACACAAACTAACAATGAACAGAAATGATTATTTCAACCACAATGATTTATTTTTTCCTCATCTCTCTCACACTTTTAATATTTACCTAATTTTATTTTCATATTTATTTCGCTGCCTTAAGATTTCCCTAAACTGTGAAAGTGCAGAAAAGGTTCTGTGAATTTCTCTTCACTTTAATAACAATTCTCATAAACAATGCATGCAAGCACACATTTAAACATACGAGTTTCAGATTTTGTTATAGATAGATCATTGGCATAGACAATAGGATGCTGTGTTATAAAACCCAACTATAAGTAGATGTCTTCTCCATCATAGAGCCAAGAATATAAGAACAATATTGTTGAAAGGATAAGCAATAATAGTAATAATAATAGTGAAGATGATTGTGGCAACAGTCACTGCAATAGTGTCAACTGAACACTGCTGCCATAGCAATACATTCATAATATAGAAACCAAAATTACTAAGGAAATGAAAATTAAAATAATTCCAAGACAGGTGCAAGAATTGTATACACAAATCTGAGATGATTTGTGACTTAACTTTATACAAATACTAAATAATTTGTGTCTGTATATGAGAAAATGTAGATTGTGATTGTACACATATATACATGATTATGTTTGAAGCCTGGTATGTATATACATACAATGATATCTAGTGTATATAAGCAAAATATGAGAATTATCCACTCAATTCCTAGAATAATATGTATGTAAATGGTGTGTGTGTATATATATATATATATTATATATATAAACAACCACAGAATATTGCTGGAGGTATGTAGTTGTCTTTTATGTTTGAGATGAACAAATGTATGCAAGTAGATGCCATTTTTATGCAAACAATATCCTCGGTGTGTTATAATTAAAACCAGATTTGTACTGAGTTTAATCAAGAGAGATGACATCTGGATGTGTTGTGTGGCTTGGACTCAAGCTACTAGTAGAGGCAGTTGTGGCTGCAAGGGTGGTGGGTGCCTGAAGACCAGCACTGCTACTACTGCTGCCGCTGCTACTACTGCTGCTACTACTGTTGCTGCTGCTACCACTGCCACTACCACTGGCTGAGACAAGAGTACTACTTGGAGGGTAAGTTGGTAAGCCAATCAGATCCGATATCTGAAAGTTTGAAAAGAAAAACATTATCACTTTTTAATTTCAAATATTTAATCAATTAGAGTCATAAATTTCCTTATAGAAATAAAATTGTATATGTAAAAAAACAATGATCTATGGAATCTGTAATGCCCAAATGCTGAAGTTTGTGCATATATATTTAGATATAATCAACATGAAGCTTTTTTTTTTTCTTTCCATTATTAAACTCATTTTCGAGACATTTTTGCAAGTTTGCTTTGAATGTTTTTGCTTAATTAAAATGTATTTGCTGAGAAAATAGTCTGAAAACTTAAGATATGAACTTAGGAGTTATGAAAATAGGAATACAACCAAATTCACTGATCAGCATTAAAAGCAAAGTATCAAGACAGTACAATAAATGCTAAGGTATGAAATTTACAAAAAATGTAAATCTTTTGTATGAAAAAAGAAAAAGGGAGTTGGTCTAGAAATTATTTCTTAGTATAAAAACATTTTGTTTAGCAATTTGTATTTGATAACCATTATTTTCTATTATTTCTTTTCTTACTTAGGAGGTTGATGGTCAAATGCCTGATTAAAATCTCTTTACACTAGGAAAAAAGTCCAGGTTACAGAAACCCAATTGAAAAAAAAATATACAGATTATTATATGAAACAAATTTATGAATAATGTGACTTTTTTTAAATTTACAACTGATAAAAGTTTACAACTGCTCAAAGTTTGTGATAAAGTGATGTAAATTTTTGTTGAAATATCAAATTTAACTATATTTATTTAAATAAAAAATTTTCAGAGTTATTTTCCTTGAAGAGCAGACAACTTTAAAGGTTTTTTTTCCCTTTAATCAATGTTCACATCTTGCCATCATCATGTTTGTGAATGGCTCAGTTGTCATTAGTATGCTTTGTAAACTCTAAATGAATGTCATAAGGACAAGATTAAATAGCAGTAACCATTGCAATGTCTGAGTAACATTGGCAGGACACACCAGATTCTGTCTTGCATGAAAATAGCACAAACTCACAAACATGGATTTCATGATAGAGAGGCTGATGTAGGCTAAAAATGGGTTCCAACTGCGCAAGACAAAATTAAATGATTAAAGTTTATCTATTTTTATTATGAAAAACTTGCATAATACTTCATGTATATTATTCTTATACTATATATTTTTTTTGTATTATTTCATTTTGGCCATATTAGGGAAAATGTATACAGTTGTTTGAAACTCTAAAATATTTATATTAAAATCTTACAAGAAATGATCTTTATAGCTTACGAGATTTAAGTTTCTGAAGATTTCACAATTATTAATGAAAATGTTATTTAATCCTAATCATTTGAAGGATATATATATACATATATATATATATATAGGCAAGAAAATTACAACTTGTGTTCTTAACAGGGAGACAAATTTACTTCCCTCATCCTGTATATAAGAAAAAAAACAATATGCAAATAATCCTAAAATTAGCACCAAAAGGCTTTAAAAATAAATATTAAAAGTTAAGGATTTTAAAAAAATTAATTCCATTTCTTATCTATAAGAGAAGTACCTTTCTTTTCTGATTAAATTCAACACTGCCATTAAACAAATTCTATCAAAAAGGGATTCAATATATAAAATTAACAAAAACAAAATTTTTATAAGAATCTGTTACTTTTAATATTTCAAACAAATTTAATTTTTAGTAATTAGTTATTTAAATTCAACCTTTGATTTGTTAAGTGGTAAGGACAAGGCAGCCATTATTAACTTCATTAATACAGTACAAGTTAGAATTCTATTAACTGGAGGAAGAAAGAAAAAACAACTGAAATTTATATACTAACCTCCACATCATCATTTGTTTCGGTTTGCAGTAATGAACAGAGAGGAATATCTGAAAAATAGAAAGAAAAAAGTATTTCAATGAAAAACTTTAAGAAACAAGAATTACCCAAGTAAATTGAAAACTCACACACAAAACAACTATTTTTACTCTTATTAAGATGATACTAAACAAATGTATGCAATATATTTTGGTGTAAAATAAGCCATACAAATAATAATTAAAAAAAAAAAATGAAGAGAAATTGTGTAAATTGAACAAGCTGCTGCTTTTCCATCAAATAGACATTTTAACAAAATCTCAAACAAGAAGCAAACTATTTATTGGCATATTGTAATTAACTTGCTTGTAGTAAGTCCAGTTTTTTCTCAGTAAGCATTCCCCCTACCTAAACTGACAACAGGTAAATATCTTAAAAAAAAAAAAAAAAAAAAAATATATATATATATATATATATATATATGTATGTAGATATTAGAGACACTCCTGAAATGAAGTATAGCTGAAAAAGGTATTGAATGTTGAAAATACTCAGACTATTCTTTTTCCTCCTCTGGCAATTCTAAAATTTAATAATGTTATATTTTAAGTGGTGATCTAGTAATATTAAAGTTTATTCTTGAAAAACCAAAAATACTTCAATGAAACAAGAATAAACAAGAAATGTTAATAACATGTATGAAAACACAAATAAACTTAATTTTCCCTTCTGATTTCATACTTTAGGAAAATGTAAAATAAATGTAGAAATTAAGCTTTATAGAAAAATTGAAGCTATGAAAATGTTTACATAATCTGTATATTTATCCTTTGTACACTACAGCAAACAAATGTTTGCAAATCTACCATTCAAACATGAAAGGAAAGATAAATGCAAAAGAAACAATTGCTTTGATATATTATTGAGGGGCAAATCATTATCATGATCTATACAACTATTATGAAAACATACACAAAAAAAAAGCAATGTATTGAGAGAAATACCGTAAAATGAGTTAAATTGTTCAAATGAAATTTTTTATACAAGATTTATTTACTGCATCATTAATTACATACTAAGGGGAGATAATTATAGAGCCATAAAAAAAATGTGAATAATTGGAACATTGTTTTGAGTAATATGAACAAATTTGAATAGGGAAACCCAAGTTGCAAGTAAACGGACTTAACTCAGCTATTATAAAAACATTTATTAAAGTCATTCTAAAATAAAATGCAGCAAAGAAAGCTGCTGTATTACCACCCACTTTTATATATTACTGAGTATATTAAAAAAAAAAAAAAAAAAAAAAAGAAAGAAGAAAAGTTGATTCCTATGAAGTTGCAGAGCTAATGTGTCACAAAAACATCTCAAAAGGATTTAAAATTTCATAAATGTCAGACTGTCTTGGAGACACTATTCTTCTGACTATTCATATTTGTAATCAGATTTCAGACTTCTTTTATAACTGTATAGTCAAATGTTAAAGTGGATCATAAAATATCTAAGAGCTGCTAATAGTCATAATAATATGAGGGAGAAATTGTAAGGATACTTGAATATGAATAATCTTAGAAAAAGAAAAAAAAAAAAAAGAAAAGAAAAAAAAGGCAAACAAATATCCAGTTTAGAAACAAATTTATCTATAAACTTAAAAAATTTTTTTCATAAAAGTTTGATTTAAATTAACAAGCACTTATTTTTTGGAAATAAATCAATCTTTTATGCAATTGAAAATCAAAAAGTTCAACTTTGAAACACAATTGCATTTTTTTAACATAAAAAGTAACCTCCCTTGTTTTTTTAAAAAATATACTGAATTGTTTTAATGTGGCTTTGTTACATATCGTGAAGTATCAAGCTAGCAGAAAAACAGCAAATATAAATAAAAGAAAAAACAATTTACAATGCTAGATTAGAAAGAATATCCTTGATAAAGCTATTGCGAATGTACGTACCTTTTTGCAAAACAAACTTATGTTGTAAATAAGTATGCTTCTATAGGTAATATAGTATCAGGACAATGTCACTATATTGTGACATTTAAGGCAAATATCTGAAAAAGCTCAATTTCTTTTTCCTATTTAAGAATATATCTTATCCCTAAAATGTAATCTAGTTAAATAATGTCTGGTTACATAAGCAGCAGCCGATTCTGTTATTTGATCAAATTGGGCAATTAATGTATACATTAGTTGCAAGTTTTTTGATTGTCAGCCACATTATAGTATTAATCAATATATATTAATAGATTTAAAATGTGATAAAATCCCTCAGTGATAAGCAAGCAGAGAAAAAAAAAAAATTCAAATATGGATTTACAGAATAAATATGACTTTATAAATAACTACAAAATTAATGTATTTACTTATAATGATGATTATTAATAATATAATTGACAATATTATTTTAGTTTAATCATCGATAAGGGGGGGAAAAAGTGTTTTGCAGCTGATATGGGAAGGTGTAAGGGTTGAGAGCAGTACAGGTGACTCACTTGAATGTGTGTTGTATGTCACTCAGCAGAACCTTGGCACCTCACCACAACAGTCAACATTACATCAAGGAGCCGCATAGTGAGAAGCCTTCTATGTATTTACCATATCTGTCGAAAACGAGAAAACTAAATAAATGCAATCAAAGCATTTACTTTCACTGCTGACCCTTGGTTAACTGAGATCAGATTGATGTAATGAATGAGACAGACATACACGCTTCAAGTAATTTCGTGAAACAAAATATTAGTTTGTATAATATTTCAAGTAGGCATTTAAATGAATGAAAACGCCAGAAAAAAAGTTTCTTTTTAAGAACTTGTGCAATGTCTGCTATGAAGAATATAATGCATTCATATTAAATTAATATAGCAAGAGCCGAATGCCTGATTGGATAGACAAAGGGACATAAATATTTTTATTTTGACAGAACTCATTGAACAAAAGATAAGCTCTTGTAGATTTTGAGCATTTATTCAAAATTTATAATCATTTTGCTGTTTTTGTCTTGATAAATATTTTAAAATCCACCTTTTTTCATATATCTTCAGAGAATGAAGATAAAAATGCCATAGCTTTAATGTATGATACTAAATGCAAAATGTCTTATTGACCTAAATGGACTAACTGATTTTTTTCTCTTAAATCCAGCCAATCATAACATCAGCTTTTGCTAAAATGATTTAAATCAGGGTGCTTATTTCATATCTTCTAGTTTTTTTTTCTACTTGTAAATGAGGCAAACAGTCTTTAAATTCAGATTATTTCAACCTTATTTCATCAGTGTTTTTTTATAAATCAAAATATGTTAAAATAATGTAGTAATTCTAATGCCTATCTACTTCATATTTTTTTTTATTTTCAATAAATGCTGATTTCGTTTCACTGCTAAGACGAGCAAATAACTAAGTGAAAAAACAACTTCGACACATTTTTTTCACATCACAATTCTTTATTAAAAAAAAAAAAAGAAAAAAAAAAAGATAAATAAATATAATTTAAAAAAGTATAAAGAAAAGAAAAAGAAAAGATGAAAAAGAGAAATAGTGAAAAAATGACAGAAAAATAAGAAAAGAAAAAGAAAAGAGGAAGATATATTGAAGCAGCTGATAGCAACCTACTGGTGCTGATCCATTGCCAAGTGATTGTGTTGGTATTACTCCTAAGTCCACTTCTCTGGTAATGTCTAAATTCAAACTTTGATGGAACACACACACATTTGAGCTCTCTATCACACTTTCTCTCTCTCTCTCTCTCTCACACACACACACACACAGTGTGTCAAAAACAACAAAGTGCTGGGGAACATGCAAATCCATTGAATGACAATGCTCATTTCATAATTTTTTTTTTTTTTTTTTTTTTAAGGAGATATTGAGCTATTTTCCTGCATAAATCTTTCACTTGTTTGCTTCTTTACCTTCCATTCTATTAAATAACTTGTGATGTTGGCTTCTTTAGCCTTGGAATTATTTTAATCATTTTTCTCCTTAACCGCTCAATTTTCACCATGTTCTGCTGTGTTCCAGTTCTTGTGTCAATTGTAATTTGTCTCAGGAGCACTTAAACACTTAAAGTACTAATGACTAAAATAAGTAATTTTCAGAATCATTTATTAAAACCATAACGCATAGAAGGCTCCAGATATTTCACTAAAGAGATTCTCTTGAACAAACCACACACCCTAATGCTAATTCTTAAAATCAAAAATTACCAAAAGAAACTCCACATCATGGCTTTGTTAAAAATTTTAAGTTCCTGACACATCAAGAAAGGCTTCCAAAAACAATCCCTGATGCTTGCTCAGGTTTTAGGAAATAGGTTGTGCCAGGAATGTTTCAACCCCCCATATCCTTAATAAATATTAAAATGTTACAAACCAAACACTGAATACTTCATAGAAGTTTTTATCCATAATTTTTTTTTTAGGGCAGTAATAATAATAATATAAAAAAAAAAAAAAAAAAATTTGAGCATAATCATTTTGTATTTTGTATTCTTAAACATACTGGCAGTTAATGATGGCACTAAAAATTTTAAGCATTCTTTAGTAAAATCATGCCTAGCTATATTTTTTATCATTTTAATTTCAACATTGAACTGGTAAGATTTATGACAAAAAATATTCTGTACAAGGATACATTTATATCCATGCCATTAATAGATGTTAAATGATTTATAAAAAAAAATAAAAAATCAATTTTAACAGAGTTTATTCATAATCCATATCCTTAGTGCCTTTAACAATTGACTGAAAACTATTGTAGTTTGAAAATCCTATTACAGTAATTTTTATTGACTGATATGACAATTGTATAACATTAAACATCTATTTTTTTATCATTCAGTTCCAGTTAGTTTAAGAAAATTGTGAAAATAAGATTCACAAATTTTTAATAAATTTTACACTATTGACATAAATTATTATTACAATTAAACAATAGATTTCAGTAATGAACTGAAGAAAAATCTTTTTCTGATAAAATTTTACTCTTTATTCAACCTGATTTCTACAAAATTTTACTTTTAGTTTTGCTTTAAAATTTAGTTTTACTTTAGACTATGTAATGAATTACACACTGTAGTCATAATGATAAAAATTGAGCTATTATGATAAGACTATTTCCAGAGAAAGGGTCTCAAGTGATAACAGAATGCTACATAAATAGTCCAAGTATAACAGTCTAAAACATTTTCAATTGCATGCCTGTTATTGTTTAAAATAAAGATTAATTCCTGATAGTTTTTGAATACAAAAATTAACAAATGTGTGTGTGTGGACATTTTGCTTACAATAAAAGCTAGAACATAAACAAGTTTTTAATAAACTCAAAGTGTAGAAAATAATTCTATTTCATACATACCAAAGATTCATGTTTTCAATTTACACATGCACACATTACTTACACTTTTTCTTCTCTTTACACAAGCATACTAGGATAAGGATAATTTAAATTGAATATACAGTTGTTTGCTGTTGTTATGATGAATGTTGTTGACAATTTCATTACATGAGAATTTGGATGTTTAAAATCCAAATTAAAAATTAATATTAATACCATTAGCATCTTCTGAAAATGCTATTTGAATGGAAAAAAAAATTAAAAAAAAAAAAGAAAAGAAAAAGTAACCCCATTTACATTGAACAAAATCACTTTTTTATATCTATACTAGCATACCCATGCTGTCAAAAACAATGAGATATTTTTTCAAGTCCTTACTATCATGGAAAGATTTTTCACATGCAGGTCTTTAAATATATATATTTTTTTCCAAAATTGCATTTTGCTCTTCCATGGAATCGGCCTTTACCTCCTTGGCTTTGTAAACATTTTAGAATAGTTCAACATTGTCATAACAGATACTGTCACCGTTGCAAGGGAGGTAACAAGTTTGGCAATTATGACAAAGGGCCATTTGATATATTACAGATTTGTCAGATATGCATGTCTTGTCTAGCACTTTCTAATCTTGCTCCTGTCTTATCTCTTACCCCGACCTGATATTATCAGCTATCTCTACTCTTCTCCACCTTTCTTGTTGACTTGTGCTCTGAGCTCCCTCCTCAGGTGTCTTTTGAGAGGGTCTGAGACTGTGACAGAGCATCTTGAGCACATCTTGCTTCAGTTGTATGCGTGCATTGAGGTGCTCTTTATTACCTAGTGTATTTTTGCTGCACACCATTCATCTACTTTTCCAGGATTTGTCTGCTCCCTTTGTTTCATAATATAATCTATAATCTAGAAGTAGTATTTTTTTTATACTTATAGATAATTAATTTAAAATACAAACAAGTCCTTATTATTATGGGAAAGGTTTTCACATGTTGGTTTTTAAATATATTTTTCCAAAATTATTATTGTCGTATTTCACTCTTTCAGAGTCAGCCTTTTCACCTCCTGGCTTTTTAAACCTCTCGGAACAGTTCGCCATTGTCATAACAAAGACACTGCCATCTGGCGCTGCCAGTGCAAGGGAGATAACTAGTGTAGCAAAAAGTTAGACATTACAGGAAAAAAAAAAAACAAACAAAAAAACAAAAACAAAAAAACTTATAAATACTCTTGGCATATATATATATATATATATATATATATATATATATAAAAACAGCTAAAACTTAATAGAGGCATGGAAAGCTGAATGCTTTTGCATTCATTCAACATATAGAAATTAAAGTCAAGGAGCAAGAAAGAAACAAAAATTATATAAATTGAATAAAAATGCAAATGGTATTCAGAAGAAAGAAAATAGATGTGTTAATGCTTTATACAAGAACTCCCCCCTTCTCACTCTCTCTCTCTCATCCTTTTGTGGTAAATTTCTGATAGGTGATATGAACCCGAATTTGGATAGTCATAATGACATCTTTATTTGTCCAAATAATACACTAGTTTACACACATGCACCAAAATACTTCTTCCAGCAACAGGAGTTCCAAATCTATCTTTCATTGAGACAGGAATTCAGATAGATATAAATTGAATTTCATTACCACATGGGTTGGGCGCTGTGGTGCTGGTGCTGGCTCCTTGGTAAACTGGCAGCTTATTGAAATTTTCTGAAATGTTGTTTGTGGATATTTCTGGAAAATTTGCTGTGCCTGAAGGCAAGTAGAGAGACCGGGGTGATTTCAACACAGGAGATGACTGAGAGCCAAATGAGGCTGAATTACTGCTAGAAGTGATGACAGGAAGGGAAGTCTGTGCCAGGCCATACACATTGTTGGAATAGGCCGGAGATGAGTTAACTGAAGGAGCAACCGATGACCTGAAATAGAATAACAAACAGTTAGAGGCAATGCGAAAATTATTAGTTTTCATTAGTAAAATAAATTAAATTTTCTTTTGATAAAATCCTAAAAATAATTTCTACTAACTGGTAGCAAATGTGCAGAAATAGTATAAAAATACATGACCATCCCTTCCCTCATTATTTTACCAAACCTGATAATTCAAGCTAATTTATTTTTGAATCTCTTTGAAAACATTTTGGAAAAAAATTATAATTTAAAAATGCAATTGCTCTAGAAACATGTCAATACTAACTGGACTTTTATGCTCATGAAAAGTTTTATAAACAACTGTCTTAAATTTTTGTATGACAATTTTAATCAGAACTAAAAGTATCTAATGACAGGCTTCCCACAGATCTATAAAAACATTTCCAGGACTATGTTAAGTTTCAAGGACTGAAACTGGCATGCACACACAAAGTGTGTGTGTGTGTGTGTGTGTGTGTGTGTGTGTGTCTTCAAGTTCTTCAATTTCCATAAGCATGGATTTCCGTTTTTGTCCAGCTGCTTCTTCCTGTCTTTTTTTTTTCTTATCAGCCTCAACATATTGGTTGTATGCTGTTCTGGCATTGGAAGCACTGCAAAGAGCCTAGTCAAGGGAACATTCCCAGCACCACCAACTATGGCCAAATAGTCTATGATAACGCACTGTGTGACTAAAGTCTGCTGTTTCATATGGTCAGTGGAAATTTCCTTATTGACTGAGAAGCCTCTCTCCACTGAGGTTTGTCCATAGAGAACCAGCATTCTCTGAACAACTTTTCAGTTTTTGATATTCTTTGTTGCAAGACAAAGAAGAGTAGAACAAAGTGTCCAGATGGTCTTCATGCTTGCTGAAATTCTTGAAAGAAATATTTCCAGCAGCCTCCTCTGTGAACGCTTTGTACTGACTGATGATGTCATTACAATCAAACTTGCTGACTTGTTTTCTATCCATCATGTGGGAAAGACATCTTTTTAGACTGTCTACTGTGGCATTTTTTTTTTTTTTTTTTACAAATGCATCCAGGGTTCAGCCTTATAAGAGGTAGACTTTGCCAGAAGTTTCTCACTGATGGTGATAAACAATGCAAACAGATCTTTTGTTGACACGTTTTCTTTTATGAGTGACAGGGGTTGCCAGATTGAACTTTTCTTAATATAAAGCCAAATGTTTTTTTTTTTTTCACACAACAAAAATTAGAGATACACGTTTGCCTGCAAACTTTAAAAATAACATTCTTTTATTTTCTATTCTATCCTAAGATACATCAAAAGCATATTTTCTATTATCTTTCCCATTTACATTTTCTTTGAGTATAATTTGATGCTCAAACTTGTTACTTTTGGTAACAATTTAGACAAATTTAGTTTACACAGATACGCATTGACACAGGATGCGCAAAATATCTATTTTTTCAGCATGAATTTACCCACCACCGATGAGAGATCAAAAGGATTTTTACTTTTGAAATTGACACATGAATAACATTTCTTTAATTGTCCAAATTAAAAAAAAAAAAAACACTGATAAATTTGAGATTCTACTAAAATGTATTTTATTACTGTAAAATAATTTATTATTTTCCTTTCAACTACAAATTCAGTGACTATGAATTAATTATCTTTGACGAAGATGTTTACTGCTCTCTCATGCCTTTTATCTTTGCTTTTCCTCTTGATATGTGAGGGTAGCAGCTAGAAGACACGCCTTCATATTCTTTCTCATTTTCTTTCTCCTCACCTAGATGAGAAAATACAAGTAACTACGTAGGTCATGAATTCGTTCTACTCAAGGAAATCATTTGCAATAATTGCCAAATATTGACAACAAAAAAAAAAAAAAAAAAAAAAAAAAAAAAAAAAAAATTAAAATTAAAGGGTAAATTCAGATTGTAAAAAAGCCAGATTTCTGGGATTTGGTATTTTGGCTTTCATGAATTGAGAAAATGGGTATGTGGGCAACCCAATTTAGAAAATCTAGGACTTTTCAACAAGCTTTTAGGCTAATGCTTACCCCCCTAGACTTTTCAAGGCCCCGTTAATTTTCCAGTACTTTTCAAGGTTTCCAGGATCTATATGAACCCTGTAATTATGAGAATTTCATTTTAAAAGATGTGATTAAATAATTATAGTAGAATGTTGATTAGTTTATATATTTTTGTAGATTGTTGATGCTAATATTTCATGTTTGTAGTGATTAGCAGAAAGAACTGACTTTTTTGTACTGCACATTATTTTCAGCAGATTATCTGATGTCTTATTTTGAAGACAAATATTTACATGCAAAATAATTATTTCAATTTACTTCATTTATAATGGAACATTTCATGAGCTGTTTGGTAGAAATTATCTATAAGTAAGCCAGAATCTTGTCTTTAAAGCTTAAACCTGCTAATTTGCATCCATTTACATAATCATCAATACTTTATACATCATTTAGGCTTTATCAACAGACCAGAAATTGTTATACCATATTAAAAACACTTTCTCTTGAAGAACTTGACAAGAAATTCAATGACTGAGTATGTAAAGTCCTCTACTCAATCAAGTACAACCATTAGAATATTACATAATTAGCATCCCTTTAGCCATTAAGAAATTAAGTTTCTTTAGTAAGAGTTAATGACAAGCAGATACATTTAAACATCTATATTAGTACTACTTGGCTTATTCTTAGTTGAATTATAGTATTTCTGTTGAAAACTTGAGTGCTAAAAATTGCGCAATAATTATACAATGTCAAATTTTATTACGCAATGTTTTTGCTATAAAATTGACCTTGACCAACCAATGCTGGTAAACTTTTCAGGATATATACAATGTGAGTTTCAGTTTATAATATCTGTTTATATATTAATTTATTGGTAGGGTGAGAGATTATGCACCCCCAGGGTCAATCAAAATGTAAGAGTATAATTGCTGATATTTATTTTTTAAATTTGGTTACATAAAAACTGCCATAGTTATAAGAAAGACTTAACCTCAAATAAAAATCAAGATATTGTAAAGCCAGTGAATGGTGGGAAGACAGAAATTAAACAGCTAAAACAGAGATAATAAAAAAATTAAATTTATACATGCTTTCAAAGTTGTTGATTATGTCAAGATAAATGAAGAAAATTATTATAAGTTCTAGAACAAGACTTTAAGTTAAAGCATGTATTCATGTTTCATATAAATTGCTTTCACAAAGTGGGCCATAGTCAGCTTTGCTGACTAAAAAGTTTCAATGACACCAAATTAGTGTAAAGGCTCCCAACTTCTGATATGTTAAAGCATAAAAACTGATGAAGATTATAAGATGTCAAGCCCAAATTAACATCTAAAATAAAAAAACTTTATTCAGGTAGAGAATAGAGGATTCAAAGTTGTTTCTATGGCTGATATACTTTGGATTTATTTATAAATAAAAAACTGTTTGCACTTAGTTTGGATAATAATGAATACATCAAAAACAAGTTATTGATATTTGTAATAAATATACACTGAACATACATAATAGGTTGACTAATAAAAGTACCAACCCATGAAATGATCATCACTAGCAAAAATGTATTGCCAATGGTGGTAACTATTTGAGAGAGAGGAAAAAAAAAAAAACAAACAAAAAAACCCAACTTGCTCTATCCAATGATGCTATTGTGCTTCTTGCATCTGTTGCAGTTTCCATGGAAATAAATAGGAGGTACTACTATCAAAGTACCATTTGAATATATAAGTAAAAGGAGGAAATGAAAAGTTTTCAATCTGGTTCACTTTGTAAAATCTGACCAAACAATATTTTTTGGAAAGGATTCTTGATTTTTCACCAACCCCAACATGTATTTGCATGCAAGCATAGTGGAATACAACATATAAGCAGGTATACTGTTTTTATATATGCTTATATATTGTATTGCTCTACGTGTTTATTTTCATTCAAATTTTTCTGACCATGTATATGCATCCATATAAATGTATATTTAGAGTTCTTATTTTATTATTTTTCTTTTCTCTTTTTCATTACTACTATTAATACTACTACTTTTATAGTTGTTATCATCATCATGACACTCCTAAACTCAAGGATAATATCTCCCTTACTTTTGTGTGCACATTATTATTATTATTTTAATACTCTTCATTTTATATTCTTGTATATAATAGCTATAATTCTTGTATATACACTCATAATAACAGATTAAGAGGATAAAGTGGCAAAACATTTTCAGTTAAACATGTCCACCCCTATAACAGATGTCATCTGACTGCAGTAAAAGACTGGGGGAAAGAGGCAATAAAAATCTTTCTCAGGTAACACAGCCAAAGGCTTAATGATTCCAACAGTGGGGTCATTAACATCCTGTGGATTTTAAGTTTAGCCCAGTTCAATAAACACCCTTCAATATCAAAGGAGGAGCAATGAAAAATTTTGAGAGTGGCAAAAAATTTTGTCATGCTCCCACATGTCAAGCAAAAAACATAATATAAAATTAATACTTTGGCTATTTTTTTTTGTATAAGTAGCATATGTGGATATTCACTCTCTCTCTCTCACTGTGTGTGTGTGAGAGAGAGAGAGAGTATATAAAATCTTTTCTAAAAATGGTTCAAAACTTCTGTTTAATGTGTTGTATATAAGAAATGCTTTTAAAACTTGGAGGTAAATATCACTCTTACAAGCAAATGGATGGTTGATTGAAAAATTGTAAGTAGATATTGAACCACTGAACATAATATATGCATAATGCACATGTGCAATATTCACAAAGAATGCGGCAATAATGTGAACATGTGAACTCACACACCCTGAAGAATTGCTGGTCTGTGATGTAGTGGGAGTCCGTGATGGGGTTACACGCTGTGTGAGATCTTCCTCATCTGATGAAGAATCCATAGTCAAATCAATTACATCATGTTGTGGGGCCGATTTCTTTTCTGGTGATCCCTGATAAAAAGACAAAAAGATATCTATCAGAGACAGCAAGCAGTGTGTGTGTGTGTGGGGGGGGGGTAAATTAAAAATGTAAAAAAACAAAATGAAAGTATTCATCAGAAGTGAAATAGAAAATATTATATATATATATATATATATATTTATTACATTAGTCACACTACTGTATTCCTACCAAACAAATTAGGTTACACATATCTGATGATATCAGCATCAGAACCAATTTAAACAAACACAAAGTTAGCAGACACCATCTGAAATATACTAGTAAATACAAGCAAAATAATGTCATCATGAAAAAAAAGATTAAAATTAATGAAAGCCTTAGTAATGAAAAAAGAAAAAGCCAACACTCAATAATATTAACTATGAACATGGAAACAATGTGCTTATTATGCTTGGAAAATAAAACACTATAATTCTAGATACATACACCCATATATTGAAAAATAATAAAATCATCCTTGACAATAGCTAAAAGTATAGCCAAAAGAATTACAGCACATTTGGGCAGTTTCTGTACAGAGTGACAAGAAAAGAAAACTTGATTGAAAGGAAGAAAAGATAAGTAAAAAGGTTCATCAAAGTACACATGTATACATATATAGGTACACAGACAGAGACACACACACACATGTATACATATGCATATATACATTTCACATATATAGTGTCTGTTGACACACAAACTGAGTATCAGGATCAGTGACATCAGTTAATGTTCTGTGAACGACAGTGGCTCATAAAATCTGCAATCGATTTGCATTTCTTGCTACATATGTGGCATGTCAAATCATCTCCGGATAGTGGAAATTGACTTTGAGCACCATCACTTCCAATGTGTTGTTTTATATGCCTTGTCAGACACGACCTGGACCTGCGCACTCTAGTGTAGGTCAGGCACTCGAACATTTGGGGGTCATCGATAGGTGTGCTAGCAGGAAGACTCAAGTCATTGTGGCCGAGGTCGTGAGTCTGTTGGCACTGTTCAAATAGTTGATCATCCTAGATAACACACTCTCTTCCAGAAACTGTAACTAAGGTCTGCTCAGCATAGTTTGGCTAGCCACCCTAGTAGATGGGTATCCTCGAATATGAGTAGCCAGCTTATATACACACACATCTCCCGAAGGCAATATTTCCTCCTACTTCATAAAAACATGGATATACGCAGACATATATAAATCCAAAATTTTAAAATAGTATTTACCATTGGTAAATACTAATATATCTACAAGAGATCTTAGGATAAAAAATTAAGTTAATCATATACTACACTAAATCTAGTATATCCTACTCAATTATTCGCAATGATTCTTCCATCAAACCGGTTAGCGATTTGCAAAAACCCACCATAGTTTACAAATTCAAGTGCCCCCTGGGAGATTCTATCTCCAATGGATGAAATAATATTTATTTTGGTCAAACCACAAAGTTGCTTTCAATTTTAACAACTTTCCTGGCCGTTTCACAATTCCAAAAACTTTTAAAAAATCAATATCCAAAACATTTAAAAAAATAAAATTAAAAAAAATTTGGAAAAACTACACACAAAAACAGTTGGGAAAAATCCCCAAAAACCGAAAAAAATAACCCCATGAAAACTCCAAAATATCCTTAAACAACGAAAAAATTTATAACAAAAAACCCCCTTTGGGGTTTTAAAACGCCCCCTACTTAACAC